TAAGAGCAAAAAACTTAGACTTATAGACTATGGGCTAGTATCCTAGAATTCATTAGATGTCGCAAATGCCGTCAACCAATTGATTATTGTATACAAAAATTGATCAGTTAACTTAATTAGAATGGACAGCTCCCGATAGGAACATTACATGAGCATTAATTAAACACTTAGTTAAACTCAGCCACTAAGACATTTTGTATTAATCTACAAAGAGTCATAGATAGTGCTCTGGCAGCTGCAAAGTTTATGAGGCCTTTTATAGATTTGTAATAAATTTTCAGTAAAGCAAAGGAAGGACTTATTGTTATAGGCCTATACCTCATATGACATTAAGAGCCAGACTACAGTGAAAAATGACATGAATGGCATATTTAGGGTGGATCTGTTACTCGCTCTGTATCGAGGGGGGTATTGATTTACTGTCATGCAGATGTTGGACAAATGGGGCAACATCTGGATATGACAGAATGACTTATCATAAAACGTCCCTCCCACCGGCACCCATTAACTTGCCATTTTATTATTTACATTAATATATTAATTCAAGTGGCTCTGAGAGCAACTTATATGTCAGAGTTTATGTGGATTCCTGGAAGCCCAGCTATAAAAATGATAATAATAACAGATGCTGAACTGACATTCTTTCTTAATATGAAAATAAATCCATCTAATGATTTTCTGACTTGGCAAAGAAAGTCCCTAATTTAATAGTAAATAATCCTTTAAGAAACAAAAGACCAGTAGCCAATGTGAAGTGCCAAGCCAATCTCACAAGAAAATGTTACTGCAAGGTGCTGATTTCATATGAATTCATACAATGTTTAGAAAGAAAAACATAAGCATGAAGATCAACCCCCCTAAACTTAACCATGGGGTGTCAGCAGATAAACATACGAATAATATTGAACAAAATTATATGATTTGTCATCGATGCGCAAAAATGTGAAATAGTTACAAATTCTCATGACAGTATGTTTGAAGTGCTATTGTACAATTTTGTAAAGGTGACAAAAGTCATTTATTTCCTTTGTTTTGTGAAATATTGTCACACTTTTTATATAATTTGATGAAATTACAACTGGGACAGCATGACTGGAAATTGCGCTCAATATGGATGATATTCACCTTGATTTTTCTTTGTTTTTCTCACACATCATATCTCATATTTCATGTCAAGCACACTCCTCAACACTATTGTCTCCTTAGTACGAAGAATTTGATAAAACGTTAAGGACAAAATATTGTTGCTTGTAATGGAAATTTGGGGCCATCAATTAGGGAAAGACACAATTTGTTTAAAGTGCACCTATTTTGCTTTTCAAAAGGATGAGGAACTGACCTATGGCTAAGCCACGCCCTCAAACGCAATGAGCCAATCACAGCGCGCAGCTAACCCAATACACTCGGACATTCTCTGCTTCCACGTCCATTGAAATGCATTGCAGTTAGTCAGTTTTCATTCATTTTTTCTTGTCATTTTAAGTTTAAAATGGTCAAACGGTGTATATGGGGTACATGCAGCTCCGACACTAGGTTTCCGAGAGGCTGGGCGACGGTGTGTGTTTTTTTTTTCAACCGAGATACGTGTCTGCTCTAGATTGACTCACAAATCCAACAAAACGTGGATAAATTAAACAAGGATGTCTACATCTGATCTAAGTTAAGACAACAACGTATTTGAACGTTATCTTTAAAATCTCTAAGGTAACGTTAGGCTAACATTAGAAAACGTTAACGTTAGCTTCTAGCTGCGTTGTACATTATGTCACTTAGCTTCATTAACGAATCTGTAAATAACCGAGATGACAAATGTTAACCATGTTGTGCTGAATGATTGATGTAAATACTGTAGCACCAAACGCTGATGGCATGCGTATTATCATGTTTACACTGTGACCTGTACATTTCTGAATGAAGCTGAAGCTTTTCATCAACCTTCTCAACAATAAAATTATTAATATAACCCTCCAATGCATAGTTAAGACCCTTTAGGTGACTTCCAGATGATATATAATCTTTCTGTCTCCAAAAATCACCAATTGCCTCCTGTGAAACGTCTCCTACCGTGACGCTGTCCCCGAGTGTTGACTGTGTGTCCGAGTGTGTGGAGGGGGCGTGGCTTAGCCACAGGTCATTTGATAACTGACGCCATTGCTCGTTTTATTGTGTGTCAAATGCTGGGAAGCCTGAGCTAAAATTCAGATATGACCCACTAACCAATCAGAGCAGAGTAGACCAATCACAACAGACCGACCCACTAACCAATCAGAGCAGAGTAGACCAATCACAACAGACCGACCCACTAACCAATCAGAGCAGAGTAGACCAATCACAACAGACTGACCCACTAACCAATCAGAACAGAGTTAAGACCAATTTATACTTCTGCGTAGGGTGCGCGCAGTAGGTATGGCGTACGCACAGATGTGTACTATACCGCGTACCCTTCGCCGTAGCCTGGCGCACACCTCCTCAAAAATGTAATGTCGCGACGACGCGGACCGCAAGAGCTGTGATTGGTCAGCTTGGTAGCATCGCATTTCTCTCGTTTCTGCCTTTGAGTTTTAGTAATTTCACTAAAATGAACTGTTTTTTCCACCTCAATAAGCTCCAACTCCAACATGATCCGCTCTCTGTCAGTCGCCATTGCTTGTAGTAACCCAGCCGCGAGGAATCTAAACACAGTGGACCATTAAAACCCTCCGGCGCTAACTAGCGTTTCGGAGCAGTACTGCAAGACCTGAACACAGAAGAACAAATGCTCACAATGGCGTCGCCTACGTGCGTAGCCTACGCCCTACACTACGGCGTACCCTGGACACAGAAGTATAAATTGGCCTTAAGTAACACAGTCTCATCCCAAGAAGTCATATAACTCATGTCTTGGGACGTCTTTTGACCATACGTCAACATCCGCCTTTTTAGGGCCCCCTTACATGACGATCCCGGGCCGTCATACAACTGACGCTTTACCTTTAACATCGGTTAGGTGACGGGGTAGGTTTAGGTCTGGGGTAGGGTTAGGATCCGATAACGTCATCTACCGATGTTTAAGGGGGCCCTAAAAAGGCCGATGTTGACGTATGGTCAAAACACGTCCCAAAACGTCAGTTATATGACATCTTGGGACGAGACTGCGCTGCATTAAGGGCTACACGATTAATAACAATCAACCTGAAATTGCGCTTAAACCATTTGGTATATTGCGATTATGAAGTGGCTGCGGTTATTTTTTTATGCGAAGCTTGATCCCAGTGATGTGATCAGTCCTAAACGGTGCATTTGAAAAAGCAACACACGTCAAACATCTTTACAAACTTGAGAAGCATTAATGAACATCTTGTCCAAAGAAACAACAAAAATACAACCGGTACATTTAATAAAATGTTTTTAACATAATGTCAGTTGAGTGTTTAAAAACATCCTTTAGTGATACAGTATGATGTGGCTATACACAGAATAAGACACACAACATATTATTTCATAGCATTCTATGCAGTGATAAAGGATATGTCGATTAACATTGAAGTATAAATAATATAATATCATGAAAATACCCAAAAAGGCTTGAAGAACTCATAGTCATGTTTATTAGCCATTTTTAATCAATGAAAGCCTTTCAATCTTCTGTTTATTCAGCTACAGGAATAGTATGATGCCCATAGGGATTTCCTAGAATGGCCAATCAGAGCAGAGTAGACCAATCACAAAAGACTGAGCTGTCTGACCAATCAGAGCAGAGTAGACTCACATGGGGTTTAAAGTGACTGAATTTTTATTTATTTTTTGGGATCAGCCTGTTAGGAGACATCTAAAACAAAATATGAATGTATAATATAGCATAGCAGAGGGACTTCAACAGGATATTAATCCTTTTTATCCATTTTCCATTTTATTTGTTTTTTATTGATTGTTCATCTGAGCTGTACAAGAACTTTCTTAATGGTTATTTCATTCTTTCTTCAGACATTATATCTTTTTAAATAAACATTTTTACCACGTGCTTCAACAAAATTTTGTAAAGAGTATGATCAAAGTGAAAGTCTTATGTAGTGTGTGTGTGTGTGTGTGTGCACTCTAAAAAATGTTGGGTTGTTTTAACCCAACATTGGGTAAAATATGGACAAACCCAGCCATTGGTTTAATTTTTTTTTAAATACATTTTTAACCTAACGTTTGGGTTTGTTCAAATTTGACCCAAAGTTGGGATCACCTTCATTGTGTGAAATTAATCATGTAGTAAACATATTATTTGAAAAGGTATGAATGCGGTAAGTTTATGTACACTCTAAAAAATGCTGGGTTGTTTTAACCCAATTTTGGGTCAAATATGGACAAACCCGAAATGTTGGGTTAAAAATGTAATGTTAAAATTTAACCCAACGGCTGGGTTAGTCCATATTTGACCCAAAGTTGGGTTAAAGCAACCCAGCATTTTTTAGAGTATATAATAAGTTTTCTGTGATGGGTTGGGTAGGGTTAGTGTGTGTGTGTGTGTGTGTGTGTGTGTGTGTGTGTGTGTGTGTGGGGGGGGGGGGGGGGTTATAAAATAATTATATTATAATAATTATGCAGAGTCCCCATAACGATAGCGAAACCGTGTGTGTGTGTGTGTGTGCGTGCGCGCGCGCGGTCATGGAATTTTCTATGGTGATTCTATTTTTTAAATATGTAGTCACGTCTATATTACTCATACAGCCATCCACTCTTCTCCATGCAGACAATTTTGCTGATAATTCCAGATACAGATAAAGATTTTATTACTGATGTTATCTGGAGTGTTTGGTTTTATCCCAGATAAAGGAGAGAGAGAGAGAGAGGGGAGAGAGCCTTTGTGCGTCCATCACACACAGTCTGACAGCGCGTCCGTTACGGGCTCGGCGCTAGGATCCGGCGGATCTCTCTCTCTCTCTCTCTCTCTCTCTCTCTCTCTCTCTCTCTCTCTCTCTCTCTCTCTCTCTCTCTCTCTCTCTCTCTCTTCCAAGCCTGTTTTAAAGTCTCTGCCAGACTTCAGCTCATGCGCTACTTCCTGGATGGCGGAATGGAAAGCTTCCAGAGCCGCTCCAACTCTTTTCTCTGTGTTTTCAGCGGGATGCATGGACTACCGTTCCTCTAACGTCTCTCTCTTCATCTACAATCCGTGTCCCCTTGACATGTTTCTCCCCTGGACTACGAGCTCAGCCATCTGAAAGAGAGAAAGAGAAAAGAAAAACTGTTTCGTTTGGCTTGGTCGAACTTCAAAAGACAAATCTCTCCAGAAGGACTCGCTAAAAGGAGGCGGCCGATATTCATTGCGTGTTTGTGGGAGTTGTGTCGTTCATCTGGAGGATAACTCAGTCAACAGTTGCCTTATTCCAGATCTCCATGTATACAGTGTGACATGCGGAGGCTACTGCGACCGCGCTGCTGCTGCTGGTGGATCCCGCCTCTGCTCTTCTCCTCGCTCCTGCTCCGGTGGGCACACTGTCATCCCGGTAAGTTGATTCGAGGTGGATGACAATCGTTTTCAAATCGCTCCTTTTATTGTTATACGAGTAAGACCACAACATTGGCTGCGTTAGGTCGAGGGAGAAAAAAAAACACATGCACAATTAAAACCATACGAACGCGAGGCTTCAGCATTTGTGATTTTTTTTCCAAGTCATGGAATTGGGACGATATAACACGGAATTGTAACGCACGCAATGACGTCTATTGATATTTCAATATCCACAAATGATCCGCTACTGTTATTTATGAGCGCGCGGACCCGTTATCTCTAAACACTGCACTCAAATCCGTTCTTGGAAAAGACATTGATGTCTTTCAGCTGGTATTATAACATGTTTGAATTAAAATACACACTTGAGTTGAGACATCTAAGCATAACTTAGCAGCATTTCATTTCTTGACGACTTTTAACGTCATTTACGCACTTTTTACGCAAAAAGACGTAGGAATTGAAGAGTCGCATATATTGCAAAAGACCGATTATCGGTTTGACCAATATTTTTACACATCGCCTATTCACACTTTTCTACTTTATCGGTTATTTAAAATCGGCTCATAATTGAACGGGTCTCTTAGGAATAACAACCAGCTACAAAATGTTCAGCAAACAAAATAGCCTACTTACTTTTTAATTTATTGTTTGGCATAATTAAACCTAACTTTTCCAAAAGAGCAACACATTGCATTTTAAAATTAAGTTAAACATTGTCCAAAACAAAAATGCAAACACATTTCTTACATTAGATCATGAAGCAGATTTCATACTGTTTATTATTATACGTATATGAATGATAAATATCCTAAATTGTGAATATTTTGTTATTCATTTTCATTATGTACGTTGTGGTGATTTCTAAGCCATTATTGTGTAAAAAGCGTGTATCATTATTGGTTGTTCTGATGCCGCTCAGCATAATTTCGGGATCAGAAAAAAAGCGTGTTATTTTTTATTGGTTGTTACTAGTTATTGATACTTCTGAATGATCAGGCAAGTAGGGATGAAGCATTGACTATGAATTCCCACAGTAACTAACAGTGCGTCTTGGAAAACGTCATAAGAAATAAGATTTCCGGGGGCTCGTCCGGGTTTAAATATATTTGATGGCATCTTGTTTAAGATGACCTGGGTCGTTGAGTGTGTGTGTAATAGGTGAGGCTTCAGGTTTGCTGTGATGATAGCCAGAGAAAGAACAGTCTGAGATTCACCAGTCATCTTTAACCAGGAGTCTGATAAGCATATTTGCATGTGTTTTTATGTAACGCTGGAGGCGTCAAGTCTAATGTATAATTCTAGAGAGGATGACATTCTCAGGTCTTCGAATCAAACCTTATGGAAGCAGACCAAGTGCAAGGACTGTTTGTGCACACATATGAAACGAGAAAGCCATATTCATAAACAAAAAATCTCAATCATACGAATGAAAGCTAACATTGCAGATTGCATCTGCATTTTTTAAAACCATGTGTTCAGAAATCTCATCAAAAGACAGAACTCATTGTGTTTATCTCTCATCTAATCTGATATCTCGGGACATAAAATGCGAATACATCTCAAAACGTAAAATTTCCCCAATAGCTGACCTACTTTTGGGGAGCCTGTTATCAAATGGCCAATGCTTTGCAATTTGCATACATATTAAAACGTTACTTTTTTGGTAGTCAATCACCGTCGCAGGAATAAACCAATATTAACCCAAGCTTTTACGGTTTCTCTGGACGATGCACTTCAGGCACGGTATCAGTTTTTCTATTCTGTTCTCTCGCCACGAGTTTTCATCGCAAATTCTACAGTATGAGATCGCTTGAGCGCTGACAGCGAGATAAAGTGTCTAAGTTTCTGCATCTTAAAGAGCCGAGAGATTTCATCAGGCGCTCCATGAATAACACATTGTCACCAAAGGGCAAGCGCCTGAGTCAAGGTGGTGGACATTATTGGCAATCTCTTCCGTCTGTTTTTCTGTTTGCGCCTCTCTCTCTCTTGTGTCTGTCGCAGTGTGTGTTCCCCTCTATCTCACTGTCCGAGTTGATTTCACCGCACACTTCCAATTCTCGAGTCGGAAGGGGGGTCGAGATGAAGAAAAGAGCACTTTAATGCGTCCCGTTTGTTTGCCGTCATCCCTCTCTTCTTCTTCCAGACATGGGTCTTTTAACCTCAGTGACATTTGTTCATGTCTGTGTCTGATAGACCTGTTTTCAGCAGAACCAGTGCTGCGGAAAGACAAGCGAGCTCTGTATCTGCTACAGTGCCAGAAAAAGGGGAACGCTGCAACTTTATTTATTTCTGTCATGCCAGTGGGAAACAAGTGTCTGCACACTCGAGTCTCCGGTAATGGCCAGTTTGCTGACGGAGCAGAGCGGAAGCGAGAGGATTTCTCGACGGGGCGTCTGTTGGCCCCAGGCTACGCTCATCTCTGGTTGATCCAGCCGTGGAGCCGATGGATGACTATCACGGAATAGCGCGCTTTCCACCGAATAATTTAAAGCTATAAAGCTCAACTTGTGAAACTAGCAAGCGAAAATGGTTTGACTTGCCATTCCAGAGTCAACGCCGTATAAATCAAAGGGAAGCAGTAGAAACGGTCTTTGTTTTGGCCTTTCTTTTCCGACCTCCTGAAATGATTCAAAGGATTCACCCAAAACCGCCGGCGAAAGTGAGGAGATGGTTATTTCTGTCGCATGACGAATAGCATGCCACGCGCTGGAGAGCACAATGATAATTCAAATCTCTAAAGAGGTATCAGACTTCCTGCCTTTCTGATTTCCTTTTATGTGAGCGGGGAGCCATTTCTCTGTCTAATAGAAAAGGATAATTTGCTAAATGTCCGTTTGGAAACGACAGCACTTAAGATGGGGGGTGAGTCTCAGGAGTGAGATAGCCGGGCTGACATTTGGGCCGGACTGGGTGCTCTAGCGGCCCCTGTAACAACATTATCATCATCATCATCATCATCATCTCTCTCCGCTCGGGCCGTTATCTGTCCGGCTGGGTGACCAGAGCTGCTGTAATGTTCGCCAGGTCACTTTATCAGTCACAAAGCCTGTCATCGTAGCCCGGCTCCCCTAATAGATTGATTAAAGGATAGGGCCGTGCGGACGGGTAAACGTGTGGGGTGATGTCAGGCTGCTGGAGGGCCGCTGTCCCAGAGTTTGTTAGCGTGCATCTGTACCAGAGGAACCAGCTACATTGAAGAGAATAAGAACTCAAATATAAGCCTCACACCAAACATATTTTCCAATTTCACTTAATAGTTTTCCTTTTAATTAAATTATTTGTTTTGCATTAAAATCAGTTTGTTTGTTTTTGTGCTAATTATTACTTTTATTCAGCAAGGATGCGTTGCATTGATTAATTTGAAAAAATGACTATTTCACACAAATGCTATTCTTTTGAAATTTCTAATATCCTGAAAAAAGTGTAAAAACATATTAAACGGCTCATCTGGTTTCAACATTGATGATAATAATAAGAAATGTCTTAAATCAGCATATTAGAGTGATTTCTGAAGGGTCATGTGACGCTGAAGACTGGTGCGATGGCGGCTATTGCATCACAGGAATAAATTACAATTTATTTAAATTTAAAATACATTTTGGTTGTGGGTGGTTTGGTTTATTCCTGACTTCTTGCATTTAATGTGTGTGTGGGTTTTTTTTTGTTTTGTATTACTCGTATAAAGTGTTAAGTTTAAGTGTTTAAGCCAGTTTAATTGCAGTTTAATTAAAGAGCATATTGCAGGTAAAAAAAAAAAGTCAAAATGAATATAAAACCATGTATGAAAAGTTAATGCAGGATAAAAAATGTTTTAAAACGACATAAGGGCACTAATTTAGTGGATGAAGTGAGCGTTTCTTGGACTGCTTTTAAAAATGGCTTTTTTTTCCCAACATTGTGTCATTTTACGTCACGCCAGGGCGCCTCGGCTCAGTGCAGAGTCGGCTGGCATTCAGTGAGAGCGGTCGTGAGTCAGTGTGTTTTCGGTAGTTTTTTTGTCATGGTTAATTATTGTGTTTGTGGAGGTTGCAAAAACTGCGGCCTTTTTGTCTACGGTACAGCATGGATCGGTACTGCTCACTTGTGATGCCACTGCATGGTACGGTACGGAGCGGCTCGCTTCGGCTCGCTTTAAATGGTACAACCTCTGTTGAGGTTCCAAGCGTACCGTACCGATACTAAAATGTGACGTGAACTACCTGACGTAGCACCTGTTTTAAAACTACTTGCTTGACTAGCTTGAAGAAAAAAGAAAGAAAACTTGCAAAAATTAAAATGGCTAAATCATGGTCCAGAGGAGCGGATAAACTATAACGGTCAGACTATACTCCCACACACTTTGAAGCGTTACTATGCAGTGGAAAAGCAAACCGAGCTAAAGCGAACGGAGCCGTGCCGTGCCAAGTCGTAAGCGAAGCGAACCGTACTGAGATGTACCAGCAGTGGAAAAGCACCATATCTCCTTTGTGCTAGGTGTGGTTTGTGCCGGTGAAGAAACAGGAATTCGAGAAACGCAGCCGTGTGTAGCGTTCTCTTCAGATTGGAGAATTACCATCCCGTTGATATGATGGAGTTCAACATGGGATGCTGAAGCACGAATATTAATTGTCTAATACTGTACCAATGGCATCAGTGTGATAGAGGTAACTTGTAATAGACAAACAAAATTACCAGGTTGTTTAAATATCCAAATCATTAATTTTCTGCTTATGTTATAACCCAGGTGAAAAATATGTTTTAAAAATCTACTTGGGTATGTTTTTAGGACAATACAATATCCTCAAGTATAGTTTTTGTACATTTAATATTATATATCTACCCTAACCATACTCATGTCTGCTGGCCTGATACGCGATGGTAGTAATCTGTACGATATTGTGAGCACAGTGTATATCGTTAGCGAATGTGTGTATATCTAAAAGGTAACACTGGTCTCTCTCACCAAGAAACCTGCCCTGTTCTCCACTGGTTCTCCTCACACCACAACTCAAT